CATAAATAACATAATTAGGGCTCAGCTCAGCAGCTTTATTTCTCATGTATATGGTAATTATGATTTAATAGGGCTTCATAATGTTCCCCCTAATTACTGATTATATCTTTTTATACACTTTTATATATACATATGCATTCAAATATTTTCAAACGGGTGGCACTGATGCACTCGGACGAAATCTGAGAGACAGGAAGATAACAAAAGAAGAAACCAGCCCACAGCGGGAGTCAACATTATTTGATTTATCAAAAAGCAACGGTGAGCAACAGGGCAGCCGTGAGCCTCCCCGCCAGCCACGCAGGGTGAAAGTCAGAGGAAAAAACACCCTCTCAGCCATGGTGGCTGGTAGATCAGCCCACTCTGTCTCATACAACTTTGTCTTTAGCCACTTTTCACATAGTCCTCGGCTATTCACTAACGCAAGCTGTCTGCCTGGGGTCTTTAACACCCACAGAAATCAATGGAAACATCTTCTGACCTCAGCCCACGTTAGATTATGCCAACAGCAGAAAGGGAGGCATAAATACAAGGAGTAATAAATGAGCAAACTATTAATTACAAACAACAGTAAGCACAAAACCTCATGAACTGTTTGCTAAATTAGTACTGAGAGCAGTTAGTCGGGCGCCTAACCAATGCAAGACGGTGCATGCAAAGTGATTTCATGCTGTAAAAGCTGCTTACTTTCATGAGGACGTGCAGTAGCATGTCACCACCCCCTTCACAAACATTATTTGAAACTATTGCCCAAAATGACTGCGTGTGAATTTTCATTCAAAACAAAAGCTGAACCAAGTCCGAAATACTACCTAGATTACCGAAGGTAAATTGTATAGAGGCAGTCTGTAAATTACACCCTGCATTTTACCTTTATCTCTGTTATTATTAGACTTTCCTCATTTTAACCCTGGTCAGGACTAGGTGTATAACTTGATTCACGTGGCAAGAAGAGATGACCCAGACTTGGTACAGCCTGGCAATGTGACATGGGAAGGGCAGGGAAACAATCTGCAGACATCAGAAGCACAGAAACACCAAGCAAGAGGATAAATTATTCAACGTGGTACAAAGGGACATAAAAATAAATTACAGAGAGAAATTTTATACAGAAGAATGTATTTCTTGCGAATAGAGTCCATGGTATTTGACTGTGGCAGTCTCCTAAAAGAAATGGTGCCCCGTTTTTAGGAACTTCAAAATCAGAGTGAACACATATCCCAGTGGAGAGGATGTTGGGATGCTGCACTGCCAGGAAAATGGACAGGCTGATCCACCAGATCTCCATCTCTGAAGTGGTGTTTCCACAATAACGCCCTTTTATGATGAAGAATAAGAAGGAAGCAGTTTGCAAAGACTCAAACAGGTTTCCGCTTAAATGCCTCTCCAAATTAAAATACTTTGTAGGAAAAAGAGTCAAATGTAGTGTTTATCCCAAGTGTTTTAGTGCCTCAGTCTCATTAAGCCAGTACCTTACATGCTCTCTTTGTAATGCAAATTTGCTAAAATACTATGCTTTCCCTAAAAAATTCACATAGACACTCTCACACTGCTCAAATACAACTTGTAAGTGGAGCAAAAATATGCTAAATAGTCCTTAATACTTAGGCTCTGCACCTAAGTCTTATCTGCATAAGCAGTTTATGAAAGCAGAAACCTTCTGCTGTTGCTGCAGCCACTGTAGCACAAAGGTGGAAGATTTCCCAAAGCAGCTGATGTAGGCAATTATAAACTGAATTACCACATGCAAAAGCCAAATAAAAAGACTTTGCAGAAGGTTCCTACAGCAGACTTTTTCTAAGAAAGAGAGATCATTACAGAGAGGAGAGAAGATGATACCCTGCATTTAAGGAGGCTAAAAATTGCACATACTGCACCTGCTAGCTGAGTTGCTATTTAACAACTGCCTGCCCAACCACTCAGTACATCCCCACGAAGTTTTCGGTGAACGCTCACCATGCAGCAACACGCATGCTGTTTCCAACTGCTGCATTGGCTAGACTTAATGCCCCCATCCAACAGTAACACACGGAGCCCAACAAGAGAAATAAGGTCATCCTGACGAAGGGCTCCAGCCCAACCAACCCCAGATGCTCTGCACAGTGCAAGATGACTTGGGGTTGTGGGGGGGACCAAGGGGATGGAAAGGTTCCCGTTTCATGATTTACACAAATGTGGCAAACGGCCAAAATTTCACCTTGAGGGTGCGATGTTATGATCCCTCCCTTTTCCAGTGGACTTAGGCGCTGGAACACTAACGAACTTATGGCCAACTAAGATTCACAGTATAAATTACACTCAGATTCACACTCAAATTCATAGAACAAGTCCAGACTGATTTTGAACTAAATCCAAATATACAGAATAAATGCATGAATCTTATAATCTTTTCCTCCTCCCCAGTAGCATCCCCTCCACAGGTACCAACTACTCATTTCCAGAGTCGATCTGTAATTGAGCCATCTCAAATTAAACTCTGAGCAACTGCTCTCAACCTATATTTAGCTTTGAAGACTGCTGCTTCTTTTTCAGACGTGAAGTAGGGCCTGGAAATTGTCTAATTTTTCCAACTATACCAGCTGGCCTGACAGAAAATACTACCTCTTTGATTTACTGGAACTATGGGGCAGAATTCAAGACACCCTTGCCTGCGGTGACAGAAACATCTACACTTGTTTTGCATCGGGATTCACAGCTATGATGCAAAAATGAGCTACAGGACGCATCTTTACAATAAGTTTACTTTATTCCACATAAGAACTAGCCATCAAAAATCACACTGCACAAGGGCAAAGGATTAGTCCGTGTGTATATAACACATGTACTAGGTAGTTAGGATGCAGCAATTCACCTGGGAATACCTGCTCACAACTCAACTCGACTTTGCAGTAAAGGCGGATGTGAATGCTGAGCATATCCTTCTGCCTCCCTTTCCTTTCACTAATTATATTTGTTTATGAACATTCTGAATATTTTATTCAAAGTTTCAGACAATTAATTTATCCATTTAATGTGCAGAACACGGAGATCATCAACATAGGCTATGTCAACATTGCTTCACACTGCTGCGCAGGGACGCGCTCTGGCCACGTGCCATCTGCCACCCAGGTGTACCTCCCAGCCTGCTCGTCGCCCAATCATCCAAAACACGTTGAGGCTGCGCTACTGTTCATGAACCCAGATGACTTCCCAGAGGAAACCAGAGCCTCGGGGAGATGAAGCACACTCGCATCTTGTTGCAGCCGCATCAAGCCATCATACTGCAGCAAGGGCTCGGGACAGGGAATTGCACCGCAGTGCATCTACCCTGCAGTACAGACATAGCCAAAGTGAATTTGATTTAACAAGAAACTTTTACATGTTTAAAATTATCAGAGTCACTGAAAAAAAATTTTGGGCAGCACCTACAATCAACATAAAACCAAACCAATAATTCAGGAACCATCTTCACAGCATACGAAGAAAATACGTACCTGCTCACATGCCTGCAATGATTTTCCAGATGCATTCAAAGAGAACATTTACACCGAGACCGATTAGGTTTTGAACATTCAGTTAATTTGGAAAGTCCTCCACTTTTGAAAAAAAATCCAGCAAAACGTAGACAAGCCACAGCATGAGCAGCCGTGTGCTCTCCTGTCCACCTGCCTCAAGCCCAACTCAGAGGAACATAGCTGGCTACACTAGCTTAGATTCATCTCACTTAATCCTCAGCCCGTCCATTAAAATGGTCAATAACTATGCCAGCTGAGAAATGTCCATCACTGGGATCTCATTTTTACAGGTCATTGGCTAGCCAGACAACAACAGCTTCTAGCCATTACTGACCTCTCTTAGACATGAACCACTGATTTCCTGGAGAAAGACAAGCCGTGAGCCATCCATTTTCTTAATCATAATTAAAAAATAAAAACAAAACCGGTCAACTGTTTCTATATGATTTAGTTTGTACAAAATATAACCATGCAATCATCCAGCTCCATTTCTGAGATGCAAATACTAACATAATAAGAACCTGAATGCATTCTGTTCATCTGCTGAGGCAATGATTACACTATTAAAAGTAGGTGCTGTTAAACACAAATTAGCATCAGAACAGTTTGGAGATCGAGATGTTCTGGTGCATCGACCCTCAAGTCAACTGACAAAACCAATTCAGAAAGGTGTATTTTATGATGGAAAAATTAACTATGATAAAGAAAAGAATAAAATGCCCTTTAAATATGTTTAGTTCTCAGTTTCATTAAGATGCAGAAGAAATTTAAAAAAAAATGCCATCGCCATAAAGTTCAAGCACACGTAAGAAAAAGCAAACCAACCTGCCTGAATAACTGGCTGCCTGCAGTACTGTCTGCCTTATGGCTCTGGCAAAATTGCATTCTTCAGTTGATCAGTCCTGCTCTTACTGCTCTACACAGCGCTATGTGTTACAGATAGATTTGGGGGTTTAAGAAAAATGGAATATAGCAAACCAAAATAGACACCAAAATCTGTATCAAGGGGAAAAAAAATACAACCAGTTATTTTCTCCTTCAAACATTTTAAATATTTGCCATTTGCAAATGACAGAAGATTCTCAGTCAGAGAGACAGACTGCACCATGTCTGACTCCAATAAAGGGTCTCCTGAGAAAGCTTGCCTTGATCTAAAATTCTCATACTCCAATTTCATAATTGAGTCTGCATGGCTCGAAATATGCCCATCAGTTATCATATGACTGCAAACCTACTTGCCAAAGAGATATACATTCTCAGGCTTCAGAAAAATGCTAGGCTCTCCAGGTTTTCCTGAGGAGCACATGTCCATGACCAATGTCAATGACTCAGACTGCTGGTCTCACCCAGTCTCATGACTCCAGTATCTCTGTGTTACAGTGCTTCCCAGAATTGCTGTCACAGTAACCATCAAGATACACGGAAATTACACAGCAAAACCACAACTGGCCGCACATGTCCAACATTTCCCCTCTCAGATATTTAGTGAATCGATTTCTTACTCACCAGGCTCTCGGTCCTTAGTGGATATGCACTCTTTTATGGACTCTGTTATGCCAAGACTAGCTGCAGTGGGGAGCGGGCCGAGCAAGGACTCCAGCGCGGGTGGTCTGACAGGAGCTTCATTCCCATTTTTGCATGCTCCGTCTTCATTTGTTTTTAATCTATCCTTCTCAAGAAGTTCATTATAAAAGTCCTTGTTTAAGTGATTAGCTGCTGCTTCCAGTTCCTCATCTTCTGCCTCCTCCTCTCCAAATATGCTGGAGGCATTATCTTCTATAGAATCTGTATAGGGGAACAAAAAAACAACAAATCATTGCACACCATCTGTTACAGAAACTAAATAAATAGGCACTCACTTAAAGAATAAAAGTCTTGAGAGAAAATCTAGAAGAAATACACAATATTTACAATGTACGAATATATGGAGTTTCCAGATGCTCTTTAAATTCATTACCTTGGCTATTAAAACATATTTTTGTGAATACAGTCATTTAAAGTAGAGGTACTGTGTTATCAAAAATATGGCAGGTTTTGCAGTAAGAGCCAACTGCTTACCAAGATAATTATAAATAAAAAAACAGCCAATTCAACCTGCAAAAAACCCCTTCCACATCAACTCATTAGCTAAGGGATCTAGGGACAGAAGGGCCCAGGTGCTGGTCCACTACACTTTTGATGCTGAAAAGGGGCAATCTCAGGTACTACTGCCAAACATACTGTACCGGGAAGGAAAAACAACTGAAGTCATTAATGAACTGTAATTTTAACGAACAAGGCAGGTTAGTTTGAAGGCTGATATTTGTAATAACCAACTGATAATATGTATCCAAAAGCAGAGTGAGTCCCAACATGATAAATACAGATCTTTTACAATACAAGCATATACACGACCACATTTGTTACAATAAAGTCCATACACAGAAGACTGGATCTGAAGCCATTATTATTTAATAGTCACAACACGTTATAGACTTACCATCTTTAGTGAAATTTGCAAATACTCCTTTTGCTTTTGGTCTACTATTTTCTAATTCAATCTCTATTTCATCTTGATAGCTCGATATTTCTCCTGTAACGACGAAATAAAAATAAAACTCAGCGATCACAGATGCAATCCTGCATAAATGAGCGATATGTTACACTGAGCATGACTTATACCTTCAAAATCTTCCAGCTTTTTTGATAACGCCTTCTCAAGCTGAAATGAAAATCAACAAAACAAATTAAACGTGAAACTACTAAAAAAATACCTTTGTACTATTTGTGAGCTATATATTCAGACACACAACCGCACGGTATTTTAAAAGCAATAAGCAGGCTTCGAATCCCAATTCAGCCTACTTCGTAGCATCAAACAGGTAAGACAGACAAGTTTCAAAATACTGACTGATTTCAAGTGTTATCTCAGCAATCTCTGCCTCTCACCTGATACTTCAACAGGAACTTTCATTCTGGCAAACTGCAAATAAAGACCCCGTTCTTCAGACCCTACGATTGTGCCTGTAGATGTGAGCAAGCGCAAGGAAAGCGCTGAACACAGCGCACATGCAAGTGCAGACTGACGTCCTGACCGACAGCACCTGACAGACCCTTGAGGACACCATAAACACAGTAACAGACCTTCAAATGACAGCATCATATTTAGAATATTAAAAACAAAACATGGAAGTATGAAAAATGCAAGACATGGCTATGATAGTTACAGAATCTTCTCCTCCGGAGCCAGCTTTAGTTCATGCTTTGCAAATAAATTAAGCCACACACTAAAACTAGTCTCTGTGGTAGCATGTGTTATATACCACAGAATAAAATGAGCAGCCTGACTAAAGTAATTAGGGTATGTGTTTTCATATGTGCAAAAAAAAAAAAAAAAAAAGTTATAGGCAATAGCAGTTCTCCCAACTGTGGTATCTTCTTTACAGAAGTGCAAGGTCTCTTAATTAAAAGGCATACACCTTTCCAATTCTGGTCTTTGCTGAGTAGGAGGGAAAGGTGCATACAGCATATAAAAGAAAGCACAGATATTAGGAGAGCTACCAAGATCTACATGCCACAAGCTCAGCTTCATTTGTCACACGAGAGACCCCAGCTTTTTAAAGACCAAAAGATCTGAAGCTTAGCTAAAAGCTCCGAGCACAAGAGAAAGACACAGGCAGCAGGCAAGCGAGCATGAAGGAGAGAAGAGCACTGAGTGTAACTGCACCACCTTGCAAATGGGGGCAGCGTCTGGGCAGAGTTGCTGAGCCCTCATCTACAACACTGCAATAAGCACCAAATGCTGCTATCCTGCAAGAGCCAGAAGCTCGGCTGGTGCCCCTCTACTCAGCCACCAAACATCCTGGATCTGCACTAATAGGAGCAGCAACTCTGTACTCCCCGCAGTGCCGGACTGAAACTGCAGCCATGCTTTGATCCCTGGCCAGGGCATATTTAAAGCTACATTTAGCACATACCTGAAAGAGCATGCCTCTTTAGATGAGCGAGCAAGAATGATACGGAATGAAAACGTCTCAACTTTTACTTACTGGGAAGCCCAGCTAATAAAGCAAGCAAAAATTATCCTTAAGTTTATGGGCGTCATAGAAGATAACACTCTTCCTTCTCCTAAGAACCTCCTAATAGATGCAACTAAACCTTATCAGAAGCCGGTTAGTCAGGATTTAGCATTAACTGGTTCCAAAAGGAAAATACAGAAGGGAGGAGAGAGGAGAGAAATATACAGAGGATCCAGCTCAGAACCCACCTGCTGTATCTTCAGTTTTTTTTGACCAGCTGTAAAGGAAGGAGGATCACATTCTTCTTCCAAGTCAATCTTCATAAATTCATCTATGGTTAGCTGACTTGTTGGTGTATCTTCAAATTCTGTCAACCTACCAGAGGGTAGAGTGTATTACCGTAACATCTTTAAGACCTTCTTTAAATGTAACAGAACTTGTCAAACTGCTAGATTACAGAATAAACATGTCATCCTCAGAAACTTTGGCTCAAATACAGCATAGATTAAAACTGAAGTGATACTAATGGTTTCATCTGCTCCTAAGTAAGCATCTTTTCATATCACAAATTAGCCTTTGATTTATTAGATTATGTAAAAAACACTTTTTTGATGAATAAACGCTGAACAGAAATGGGGAAGCCACTAAGGTCAATTATGTGTCGACTGACAAAACTGCGATGAGAGATACAGTTCATTCCTCCTGCCCCGCTGCTTTTGTGATCAACACCAAAAAATACACCAGATTCCCAAACTAAAATGTCTGCCACTAGAGCCTAAGAGTATGCTCAAAAATATCCTTACTATATTAGCACGATTAATTCACACAAAGCGGATGTTAAAGTAGCATATTTTCAACCGGCTGTAAGAAGGACCATAGGACACAAACAGGCAGCAGCGAAATAGGGGGCTCATCTGCACACCGCACAGACAGATTAGATAAATGCATATAATCATACAATAATATAATTTGTCCTTGTTCAGTGTTCACATTTTTCAAGTTGCTACCTATGTGAGAGAGATGACTAGTCCCACAGGGAACTGCCATGAAACCAGCTGAATCTTTCAAAGGGCTGAAACTCAAATGAGACCACTCTGTCATAATTTCATCCACAAATTTCAGCATTTTGTACAGGTGGTTGAGAACGATCATATCCATTTTACAGCTGGAGAAAACAAGACAAAAGGTTAAGTACAAAGCCAGGTCGGGGAATGTCTGGCAGAATGCTTCTCCGACAGAAAGTGCCCTTTTAATAATATCAACATTTTCCATGGGAAAACTGCAATGATGGGCCTGCAGCTGCTTCGCTGCAATATTCCCATCTTCCAGAGGAAGCCAAGCTGACAAGAGCTCCCATCTGTAAAGCCAGGAAACTAAGAGACTGTGATTCAGTACTCCCAATGCAGAATTTCTCTCCCCCCAAAACAGTCACAGTTTGCTCTTTTGCCTCTGATTGCAAAAAAAATCCTTCCAAAGTAGGAATTTTCTCTAGGATGGAAATTCAGTTCCCAACAAACTCCAAGGCCAAGAGCACCTCTCACTCTCTCCCTAAATCACTATCAGTACCTGTATTATTTATCTACCTCCTCAAATGAGAGGGGGTCCTCACCTTATAAACAGAAATCAACCTAAATAGAAAAGAGAGACAAAGTGGGGAAAGAAAGCATCTTCTCCATTTTATAAACTTGGGAACAAGACAAGACAAAAGGACATCGGCGTGACGTAACATCCGCACGCTTCGCTTACAGGCACCTTGCTCCCAGAGCAAAGCCCACAAGCCAAGGGCACGTCTCCTGTTACGAAATGCACAGGGGGAGTCTGACAAAAAAACAGGAGCAAGCGGCATCCTGAGCACGTGCACAGCTGTGCCAGCTGACACTAGCACTGCTGAGGAGAAGGGAGTATCCGAAATCTAGTCTCTCTTCTGCAGTCTTCTGCAGTCTGCGTCTCCACAAAGCACCAAATTCAACAGGTACTTGAGAGCGACTGACAGCCCAGAACTTCCTCCTTGACGTGATTGCCAAAATGTTCCCGTAGAGTATTGCCGACCAGCTCCCTCCTCTTCTCTTTCAAATCAAAGTCAGCAGGAGAGGAGGATGCTGTTGGCAGTGGGAGCATCCAGCTTTTAATTAACAGACTAGAAATCCTTCTCAGCATAATGGGCTTCCAGCGTGCATTACCCATCTTCCAGGAGAGAGCCTCATCCACCAGGCTGGAGGCAGAACTTGGCTAGGGCACCGTTACTATTATTTTAATTCAAGATTCATTCAATGCCAAATCCATACATCATTTTAGAAGCACGGAGCTTTCCAGCCATTACCATTTAACTACACAGTCATCTGTCTCTTCATGTGATCCCCCTTCAACTGTATGAACCACATATTTGCAGGTTGTCCTACTTCAACAAGATGGTTGAGACCACCCCACCTCACCCAGCTGGACCATTATCTTCGCTTCCGCTGTCAGAAGCCAACGCACGCTTTGGCACAGACCCCTTGCGTCTTTATGCACGCATGCTCCGAGTCTGAGATGGACGCCCTGACACCCAGCCCAGCCAAAATGGCAACACTTGTAGGCGTGCAGAGCAACTGAGAAGATGTCAGTGGCAAAAATAGTCATTTATGAAGGAAGGTAGGGGACGAGATCACCATGCCTGGATTTCAGCCCCCTCAACCCACACACATCTCCTGTCAGCCACCAGAGGCTCAGTCCGTGCTCCCTGCCCGATCCATCTTGTCGCATGACTTGTATCACCCACCCTGCACCCACCAGGCGTCACCCAACCTGCACCACCACACATCACCCACCCTGGCCTACCAGATGTCACCCCAAGGGCGAGCCACCTTGCAGGCAGATTGCATGAGCCTCAACTCAGGCTCCAGCTTCAGCCCTGAGCTAAAACGGCAGCACAGGTATATTCTAGCGCCTGCAGCCTATCTGCACTAGGACAGCACAGATCTGCCTGGTCTTTGCTGGCTGCGCCGGAGGGCGAGCGCAAACCCACAGCTTGACATGGTTTGAGCCACCCGACCCAGCCGCCAGGGTCCCTCCCAGGCCCAGGTGCTCCCCCGCCGCGGTCCTGATCCAAGCCCAACTGCGGCCAAGGGCGGGCAGTCTGGCCGTGAGCACTGCCCGCACAACGGTACAGGGGTACAGACGCAGGACCCCCGGTGCCTAGCCGCAAGTTACGGAGAGGCGCACCATCTCTTAATTTCTGGCCGGCTTTCACCGCAGTGCTAGCTGTCCTCCTGAAACCAAGAGCCACACCTGACTCTCAGCTGCACAGCTTGAAAATCATTCAGCTAAATTCACTCATTAGACATCTCGGTTAGCAACAGCGCCCTAAGCCACGATGAGGATGAGAGCTTGTTAAACACAGACCGGACACAGCCACACGCAGTCCCTGCTCTGCAGAGGTGACCGCCAAAGGTCCCCAGGTCCTACAGCCGGTCTCACAGAAGCAAACGTGTACAGACATCGGGGGACCGAGCCCCAGATCTGGTGTTAAGCACAGTGCCTCCCTACGTGCTGCAGGAGCGAGATCCGCTCGCACAACATTTTCTCCTTTCAATCGATATAAATAAATACCTGCGCTTGCCAACCACCTGTCTGCCTCAACGTTTTACATTGGCTGATATCCTGTCTACATATTTCTCAACATTTCTTTAATTTTACCCCGTGTTTGGACACATGCCACCAAGGCAACACACCGATGCACGCCGCGGTCTACGCTGCATAAAACAAGGTAACGTTAGTTTGGCAGCTAACAAAAACTGACGCAACCTTAATTATAAGCATGATAATTTCAGGGGCAAGGGAGCGCCCTCACGAAGGAAAAATAGCTACGGGCTATTCTTTAAGTTCCACATACAAACGATATCCAAGTTCATTTTGTACTTTTGTTAATCTAAACATATCTAATAAAAGTAGCCATTTTAAGTCATGCATAGAAGGAGGAAAATAAACAGATATACAAATTAAGATATTATTTCTTTGGCACTAATTCAGAAGGGCTCTAAAAACTGAAAATTGGCAGACAAGTATTTTCTATTTATAGCTGAAGCAGGGGCAATCACTGCAGCTCAGGCTAAGATTCAACTTCCAGTATAAACGCGCCTCTTACAGTTTCTCACAGGCTCTTTCAAGCAAACTCCTTTGGGAGAAAAGTTTTTCCAGAGCTTGGTGTCATCTGCCTCTAACCCCAACCCTTTTTTTCAGAGAAAAATTTCCACGGCTTTTGTTCAATCAGTCTGTAATAGATAAAGCACTTTTGTGCCCAGAACAGCAAACCGACTCCATTCACACTTAATTTAGCTCCCAATAAGGGAAAATGGGTCAGTCATTTTGAAGTTAGGAGCAATGTTTTTTTCATTTTGTTTCGATTCAGGGATCCTGTCCAGTGGAGACTTCTGTACCCAGCCTACAGCTAAGAAGAAAAAGATTCCCACGTGGGGCTGGCTGCTCGGCTTTCAGGCTTTCTCGCAGCTCTGGTGTGGCGGGGCGCAACGAAGCCCTGAACTGTGCAAGGGCCTCCAGAGTCCAGCCCGAATGCTTCGGGAGGCCCAGAAGACCTCCAGGCAGGGACAGAGCAGAAAAAGCCACACTGGCCACCCCTCCCTGTTCAAAGGGGAGGAAGAGCAAGCGAAACCGCCAGCCAAGCCTGGTCAGCCACACATCATGTCACTACCCGCCTCTAAATACAGAAGCGACATCCAGTTCTAGGAAGCAGACAGCTTAAAAACAGGTATCTTGCGCTGGACCTCTATTATCTACGTAATCTTAACTGTCATATTAATTACAAGCATTTTTCTTAAATAGATCAGCCGCTTTGACAACTCCAGCATTTGCAGGCTCTGGAAAAGTAATGAACTGATTTGTATCTTACCGAAGTGTCACAATATTTCACTGTATCCCCATTGTCTTAACAGGATGTTCATCGCTGTTGTCTACGGTTCTCACCAGTGCACTCACGAATACGAGACGCGTTCAGATTTCACCCTGATGTGGTAAACTTTAAGCAGCCGTTATTTATCATACTATAACTGTAACCATCTATTGCATCAGCCTTCTCTCCCCTTGTTTTTTTTCCCATGCCTGACGTTGCTTATGCGTGAACTATTTATGGACGTATGCAAAAGCATACCCTAACAGTGACACTTCATACAGAATATATGTCAGAACTAGTTACTTAATATTCCCTACATGATATAAAAAATATTTTAGGTATTCACTGCTACAAAAATAAACAGAAGTGTAATCTCCTTATAGATAATCATTGTACGTATCTAGAACTTGATTTATACTTATACAAAAAAGGTACTTTTAAACACTGCATCGGCAAGTATCTCAATATTAAAGGTAAGCACAACATCAGAAGTGATCTATTTACTACAGTTGTATGATTTACAATTCATCACCTCAGCTTCACCTGTGCTAAATTACACTGTTCCTAGCCCAAAGCAACTGCAAAGAGAAATATTTTCACTGAAACAACTTTCATGGTGTGTTACACTGACACATTTCACCTCTCTTCTGCAATGGGCTAAGAGCACGCACGCACAGCCATTTACCAGAAATTAATTGGTGACTGATAACTTATTGTGCTCACTTGCTGGCAACTCTCTGCGGTTTCTGTGAGTATTAAAGAACAGACACCTTAAAAGATTTATTCCTGTACCAATGAAAAGTGCCTTTAAGAATTAGTTGTTTTTACTTGCTTACTTCAAAACAGAGACTTAAAATTATCATGAACTTGTTACCTTAAAGTTCTGCAAGCACTTTCGCAGACGGTTAACTCCGGTTAACATTTATGCAGCTGGTTAGCCCACTAATAACCTCACTGACAGATCTTCCTCGGCATCCCTGAAATCTGACAGTCGAAAGCTTTTTCTGAATTTTTTGTTCCAGTTCTTCCCCCCCTCAATCAAGTGTTTGCACCATACTAACGAAACAAAATGTTTTAGCATTCCTTAAAATTTGGTTTCATTAGCACGGCTGCTCCACTGTGGCATGTCAAAACACTATGATCTCCTGGAAAAGAAAAATAGCCTGCTGCTTAATTTCTTAACAGAACCACTCAGATGAGGAAAGTCAAAAAAAACCAGAAACCTGTTTGCAAGACCTAAGCCTGAGTTAGTGCTAATAAATTAATTACTGTATCAAAAGTAACAGACAAAGTAATTTTGAAATGACAGTTTTAAAGAAGTACGAAGTACCGAAATATATGAGGAAAGTAATTATATCTTAGCTTACTAGCTGTATAGAAGCAGGATTTAGACAGTAACATTGCCCGTGAATTGGATTCTTCAAAAATAAAGCCTTTTTTCATTAAAACAGACAATCCAACTTGCAGAGATACGTACCTGCAACTCGCACGGATCAAGTTGACTTTTAACCCACTATACCAGAAAGATTTGTAGAAATCATTTAGAAGCCACTTTAAATTATTTAACGGGAGACATCAAACATTTCTCAATTTCATTTCTCTGTTTACCAGAGCAGCGGTCAGTGCAGAAGCTCCGTGGCTGCTAACCTGCGATCAGAGTGCAAACCACCAGCAGCTCCTTTGCACGGTTTAACCTGCCCACTTTTCTCTCAATACAGCGCTTTAACCAAACGCGCTTGTTCGACGCTGCCTTCCTGCACGTCCTCCACCTTCGTCCACGCTCAAACAGCTTAAGCAAATGCCTCTCACTTAATTCATGAGATACCTTTCACGGGGTTTGGGCACGGATTTCACTGGCATCGCAGCAGAACATACGCTTCTGCACGCCTCCCCTTTCAGTGGCCTGACCTCGATACGGCTTCGGTACTCCCGGACTCCCGACCCCGCAGCCCCCCCGCAGCCACGCGCCTCCCCGCCATCGTCCCTTCGGCCCCGAGGCTGCACTCACACGTCAAACCGCTCCTCTCCTCGCCTGCGGTTGCCGAAGTCTACCCAGGCGGAGACTGTGCTAGCATTTTTGGGCACAAAGTTTACGTGAGCTACATATTGCTGCAATGAAAATAAGACAAGCTGCAGGCAATACATTTCTCTCTATGCCGGAATCTTTAATTTTTTTTTTCCAGAAAATTACCGGTGCAGTCACTGAAAGAGCTACGGTGGGGTCCACGGGATATCAGCAAAGGACCCTTCCTAGGAAAATCCCTGTAGTATCTTCACCCAGCTGGGTGACTGGAGTTACTGCGTAAGGAAGTCTTGCCCTCCTTCACCAAAAATACTCTTTTGCTGTGAGGAGGAACACTCACCTCAAAAATAAACGTTACGTGCTTTAAACCAATTCTGGCCCTTCCTTTCAATTCCTTCTAAATGAAGCTTTACCCCTACTGAAAGTTATTCCTTCTGAAGTTCATCATACATAGGTTTTCTAACAGAGAGCACTTTACGGAACTTAGAAGAAATATGTTTATGTAAAAAGCAGTTCAATTTAAAGATAAAGAGAGCAAGTCAGAGAAGTAAAATGCAAGCATTAACAAAGATAAGCTGATTTTTCCATTTATAGAAATTTCTATTGAAGAAGTGCCTAAGATCTTCAAACAGGTATAAGGGCCACACACTATTAGATAACGCACAACGGACAAATATCACAAAAATAATTTCCACTGCGGATAAGGTATTGTTAAGGATGCAGAAAAAGCATGCAAGAGGTGACAGATGAAGGAGCAGAATATACCAAGGTGGAAAAGGCAGTAGCAAAGACAGGTGCGTTAAACAGGCACAAGCGTGGGGATTAAACTAAATAAAAGGGTTAGGTTTATTGAAAGTTAATTTCTGCTATCTCCACAGATGATTACATAGAAAATAACAATTTGACTAATTAGTTAATATTTGTACAGTGCTTTGAATGTATAAAGTGATATATAAGTTAATATCCTTTCAATTAGACTGGAAATGAGATAGATAGAATTATCAGTGCATTTATTAATATTTAACACGTTCTCTCTCAACAACAGCAACAAGCTTTACATTTTAATCGTGCGCTTCAAAACATAAAGCTAAAAGGCCCTGTGAAACAATGACGTTTTCCTACCACTTCCCCACCAAAAAAGCACGCATACAAAAACGAAACACCCACGGCTTTTTAGCCAAACAGGTAGTTAAATTAAGAACTCCTGATTCAAGGATGGGGCACAGGGTCCGCGTGCCGCTTCCAGGCTGTGTCGCGGTCTCCTTCCAAAGCAGAGGCCCTTTATGCCCAGGCCGTTCATTTTGTAAGCTGAAGGTTTTAAGTTACACCAGGTTTTTGCAGACCGTCCTAAGAGCTGCCCTCCACTTTCACCCAACCACACCCAGCCCTTCCCCAACACACAAAGCTACAGCAGCTCTTCACAGATCCCAGTAACAGCAGCAATGACTTAAAGGAAATAAACCTGCAATCAAATTGAGAAGCACAGGGATTTTTAAGAATGTGAAAGAAGTGCTTATTAATTTAGACAACTTCTACTCAATCGCACACTGAGAGGATTGCTTGAAAGAAGAGGAAAAAACCTTGGGTGCAAAACTGTTATTCAAAGGGATTTTTTTTTTTATTTGCCTTGGTTAAATACTATATAAAGTGCTCTTATTTGAAAAACATCAATCAAATTTATAGATTCGTGATAAATACAGTTGTAATTATAGCTGCCTGAAAATAATTCAGCTGTCACGTTTACCCTGTCAAAGTAAATAACGCTGTCATTTTAGTTGATGTGTGTGACTTGAGTAAACATTTCAAAGCATGAATTTTGAAGTAAGATTTCTTCGCTTGAAACAATTGCTCAAATTAATTTGCCTTCCAACTCTAATTTATTATGCTTATTTTTTTTTTCAGTAAGAACAAATTCTTTCACTACTTAACCAGAGCTTCTTGAAGTAGATTATGGATGCATAAATCATTAACTATATAAAATGCACATTAAAAAACATGACCTGTTGATCAGAGAAAAAAAGTGGTGTTTGTACTGATACTCCCTTGCTGTTATAGTACCCTGCAACACTTCAAACGTTAATTTAAATCTATCCCTATACTGCCCATGCAAGGTAGGGAAATATTATTACTCCTGTTCCACAAAGGAGGATCTGGAGCCCAAACATTTTTCACAATTTAGAAGAGAACATTATTAACAAGTATTAGATTCAGCTGGATGTGCTCAGGCTGATGTCAGTGAGATGGCAAAAAGAGAAACAACATGGAAGCTCTCTAAAGACAAATCTTGGTGGAACAAAGTTCAGAATATATGGGTGGTAAAAAAATTCATACTGGGGGTAAGAGAAGGCATGGTATTTCAGTTAGGTCATTTTTCACTGAGCCTGGCAGGAAAGAGAGAGTTATAACTTTTCAAATCTAAAGTAAATTGCGTGATTTTTATTACGGCTTCCTTCATAAAAAGGTGGAAAATATTAGTAGATCTTTAAAAAAAAGCACACCGAAGGTACATGGGAAATTCCCCTTTTCACGTTCACGTTCTGATGATAATGTGACTTCTGACCCCTTCAGGGAAGTTATCATTAGACTCGTTATGCTGTCGTCTATCTACTAGCAGAGCAACACTATTGGAAAAGACCATTTTATCACAATAATTTTTAGATGTTCTGTTCAATCACAGCTGTAGAAGAGGCCTTCTCAAGACTAGTATTCCAGATTAGTGAAAAAAATCCCATCATGTACCCTCAGCTCTGAGAATCAATTTTTTTCTGAATACCCAACAAGGCTGTTGACATTTCTGACATAAAGGTTTTTTGCCTTAAACGCTTCACCTGTTAAACGGACACAATGCTTCCTATTCTGCTAAGCCTTTGAGGCCTTACATAACAGGTAGATGTTGTTACTTAAAATGGCCAGCTAAACACATTGTACTATTTTATTTTTGGCACTTCTGAAAAGGACAGGAATCTATTTTTCTCTGATACACGTTCGTTTTGGACTACTCTGCTTTTCGGTACTGTAAACGAAAGATAAAAGCAATAAAACTCCACTGACCTTTTCCTTAACGTAGACTCACAAACCTTGACCACTCTGATGACCTCTTTAACGGTGCGTCGGAAATCGTGCATTCTCGCCGCCACCAGCAGAGCTAGAGAAGAAGCAGGGAAAGTCAATGTTAAAAAGAGGAAAACTTCCTGAAGAAAGGCAGAAAACCCTGAGATAACTGTACCCCATCTCTGTCCCTACCTTCCGTTAAAGAACAGCAAATGCTCTGTGTTCAGCTGCCTACCTGAACACAGGTGATTTAACTTGCCTATACACACTTTGCTTCCACCCGGTAAAATTAAGGTGAAACGCTGGAAACGCTGGTGAGCACAACGCTGTATCGCAAACTGTACCCTGGAAAACCCTGCGCTTTAGCTCACCTTGGAAACGCTGGTGAGCACAACGCTGTATTGTACTCAAATACAGCACAAGAATATATGACGCTACACACATTTTCAAAGCTACCACCTTTTTAGCAGAATTTGCTAGACTTGAATAAAAATCTCCACTTAACGCTGGCGAGGCTGGAAGTGAAACACTGAATCTGCTTAAGCTGTTACCCTCACTTCTGTCACTGCTATCGCTGCCCTGCCAGCGCCCAGGCACGCTCGTGCGATACCGCTACACACCGCAATACCTATTTTAATAGTGTGTTTACATTGGCATTTTGATTCAGAGCAATAACAGAGTTTTGAAGCAAACCCTTCACCAGCCCCGTCCACCATCCATCACGCACGGCTCGGTGCAGGTGTCTCGTTTTACGGTGCATAGTTTTAAGCGTGCCAAAGCGATTCCCTTCCGAGGAAGCCAAGCCCGAGCCCCTCTCCAGGTGCGCAGCTCCAGCGCTCCAGCTCCTCACGGCAGCAGCAGGGGGGCAGCAGCGGCTGCTCCTTCCGACAGCTCCCACCATCGCGGGCTGCGGACGTTCAGGCCGGGGGACCAAACTAAACCCGTTCCAGAGTCAACCCCATGAACTGTGTACGTGGGGTGGAGGGATGTAGGGGACTCGGCAGCAGCTGCTTCAGCCTATTGAATCAGATTCTTCTGAATCAAATTATTTGCTCGTGTGGATATAGCCTAAATAGTGAATCGAAGATATGGCTGGTTCGCCACAGAGGCCGTACTCGAATTTGGAGCGATGTGCAATGAGCAAGCGTTAGTAACCGGAGGAGGCCAGAAGGCTGCACAGCCCTGGGCAAGTTGCCTAAGGTTTATACACCATTTTTCATTCAAGTATGCACATATAAGATCCTTGAAATAAAATGAAGCACATACGTGCACTATGTGACTACATACGCTTTCTGTTACACTGACCTCACAGCTTGGTACGGACTACCTTTTAATCTAGCCCTCCCAAACTAGTGGATTTTTTATAAGCTTCATGGCTTAACCTTGGAAAGAGATGAAGGAGAGGGCATTAACCTCAAAAATTTGTTTAGAGAGGGCATTTCTCGCACAAAGATGCAGTGTAAGACACACATCGAAGTGTTTGCAATCATGGGATAGTTTCAGCTGAGATAACCTAAGGAGAAAGGAAGAGTAGGAGGGCTCAGGAGACATGTTTATTAAACCAATTGATAGAGTCAGAAAAAGCAGAGAAGTTTTCAAGCAGGCAGACTCATACAGACAAGGCAAAAGAGGAAAGAGGAAGCAGAACGCTTGCATCATGCACAAGTTAGAGGGAACTGGTAACTCCGCACGAGAAACCATATGGATGGGGGAACAGGAGCAGCAACCTTGTCAGCGAAAATGTAACATAGCAAAAGATACCAGAAGACCTCCAGGCCAGATGAAGGGGCAAAGGAGGACAAGGGGATGAGAAAGAGCGTCTTAGCAGCAAGCGCCTGCAGAGACAGCAGGCAAGAGGAGCGCCGGGAAGGACATTAGCAGATCCAAAATGCCAGATACAGAGGATCTGAACAAGACCTGCAGCAGTTTGAGCTTCAGAAGCTCTTCAGATGAAGAGCTGGATGATCTGTAGGGGCCCCACGAAACCCAGAGAATAAGGCACCACCTAGCAAATGAAAAAGTTTGCATCTGTACCCAACCCCAAGCTCTTCCATCCAGCAGAGCAGGCAGCTTCCTTGTGGGGGAAGCGCTGTCCCGGGATTTCACATACCTGCTCCACAAAGGCCGGAGGGCCTGCGGCCGGTGTGCATCCAGTCTCTCTTCATTCGCTGTAACAGCCTGAGGGCCGTCATGGACACCTCGTGGTTCTTATCCCCAAATTCAAGCATGTGTGCAAAACGAGGGATGTACAAACATGGATCTGCAACAGAATGTAACACAATTATTTCTAATCCTGAGCTTTCTGAAATTTCTGAAACACGTGGCTTGAGCAGCAGCACCGCCGGCATGTCATGGCCGGCTCACTACATGTCGCGTGGAGAAAAAGCAACACTGTGCTGCTGGGGCCAGATCTTCTGGTTCTAATCTTTAGAAATACCTTTTTCGTGAGGGTGCAGCTAAAATAAAATACTTTCTTGCTTTACAGATAGAAGCTTTTAAAGCCCTGCACACTGTTTTTTTCACAGGTTTTTCAGGGTCCAAAGCTGCAAATGCTGAATCCAACATGTGAGCGATGTTTCTGGTATCAGTGAAATTACACACAAAGTTAAGCATTTGAAAAAGCTTTTGCAGAGTAAGGAGATAGTTTAGGTCCAAAATTTGTAACACCTCCTGCAAAGCAATAAATAAACCATCTTGTGTGTCTTGTCTCACACCTTCCCAAAAATTAAGCTTTGAACAAAAGTCATTTGCTTAAAATCCTATGTTCCTAGCAAAAGTCCACTAATACCTTCAAAATTAATTGCAGCTCTTTCACAGTCGCACGTCCCACCGATACAAAACGCTGTTCATTGCAAATACTGAGGCATCCCTTCCATTGGCATAAATCGTCGGAGCCCACTGAACGTCAACAGCACTACGACAATTTACATCAGCCAAGGATCTGCCTCCTGATGTATAAACTTATTTCAAATGTTGGTGTTACCAGCTCCGGATTAGTGGTGCTTTGCCTAAGCCAAGTGATAATTTATCAAACAATCTCGTAAAAGCTATGTTTACTCTTATGTCAGGTATCAGCTCCTCATTTCCTGCCAGCCTTTTATCACTTGACCGACAATCCATGAGCTTCGGTAAATTGTTAACTAATAGTCTCAACTCAATTTCCTTAGCTGATCTTCTATGTGGAAACTTAAACTGACAAAAGACAAAAATTCGGCTAAGAACCCTCAAACGGTCTTACAGATTTGCAATTAATCAAAGCAGCTTCATCTAGCACCACGTGGTAACAACGAAGCCCTGCGGCCGCCCGTAATGACCGCGCTCGCCGGGTACGGGATCGCGCCTGGCAGCCCGGCAGAAGCACTGAAATCACAGCACGCTGTTTAGCGCGTCAAAACTTCCAGACGTGCCGCCCTCAAAACGTAAGAAATGCCAAAGTGCCATTGCTTCCTAAACACCATTATAAAAAAGAAATGTTTATGAAAGATTAACCAACGCCTGTGAGTGGTGAGGGCAGTTATTCGGGATTTTAACGATCCCAGGAACGTGCTAGCAGATACGTAGCTACCATACATATAGTGCTGCTCACAGCTGAGATGTCTCATCTGGAAGAACAGCTTAGGAAAATCCATCTTCAAACATCTTCTTGTAAGAAGATGTCTTAACATAATTATAGCTTTTTGGAAAAAAAGTATAACTTTATTAATTTACAATTAGCAGAAATAACCAATTCCAAAATACCAAAATAGCCCGCTTCAAGGGGTCTTTAAACCTTCCTTTTTCCGTTAGGGTAACGCCAGCGCCGCTACAAAGCGGCGGGCGGTTTGCTGTCAGAGCTCCTGCGTTCGTCACCAGAGCGGCTGCGAGAGGCCCACGTTCAGCGGGAACCAAGCCCGCTGCTGCCGTCGCGGGAGCAAGGCACCGAAGGGACGATTCGGGTCACTTCTGCGCAGCTTTCTCCCCCGCCGCGGCCGCCCCGTTCCCACGCGCTGACACACGCTCGCATGGTAGCTGCGCAGAAAATTTCTGGCGGCGTTCGCGCCACAGGTCATTTGACACAACGGTACACGCCGTCCATTTAAATCCGCCAAGTGCCTAAACAGACAGAAAACCAGCACGCGCTTCGGTTTTAAGCAAAGCGAAAAGCCTGAAAGAGGCCGTAAACGGCCGGAACGCTAATACTCCCGGTATACAAACCAAACACGGGGCCGAGCTGAACGTGAACTTCGGCCGCGTGGCTGCAAACAGCTTAAAATTTTTCGAAAATTAGAAAAGTTAAAAAACCCGTGCTGAACCCAAACACGCTGCGTTTTTCCCGCGCACGAAGCGGAAGCAGCAGTGCACAGGGCGCGGGGCTCCCCCGCTGCCTTCGGGGAGCCTGCTCGGGCTGGGGCCCCTGCACCGAGCGAGGGAGGCAAGCGGGGACAAAACCTCCCGGCTTTCCAGGAAAGGGGGCTGAGGGGGCTGCCCCGTCTAAACAAATTAAG